TCATTTGCCCAGTCCATGGGACTGAATACCTGCTTGCCATTCGGGTTCTGGATACACAGATAAAGCAGGATAAGTACACTCTACTGATATTTTATTGAATAGTATAGGCCAACTTGAGGAGCTGGTTTGTTTGCTCATGTGTAACACACTTTTCATTCCAAATATGTCACATACTAAGAAATGCTGTAACCCTTCCTTGTGCATGATGTTCTACTAATTGGGCCGGTACGCAGTGTTGGGGAAAAAAGGAAATTAGATTACTCTTGGAATCGCATTCAGCCAATTTATAATTCAGCTTCAGTGAATCTTCTTGGCACTGACTTACAACAGTGTGTTGTGAAAGCATGGCTGCATATGGCTGGTGTGAAATAAATAGGGAACTGGGACAGAAGGCTTAAAGATGTGGCATTAGGTCCTAGGGGAATAAGCAAAACAAGGAGAATCTTTTTTGCCTTCCCAGTCATATTTATGCATGGCTGTTTCTTAATGAGATGATCTTCCAAGTCTGTTGCTGGTTTTGAAAGGCAAGAGACCATGCAATAGTAGTTATTCCACAGAGCTGTCATGCACAGAAGGACTGCGTAGTGAGACTGACCAGCAGGGACTTAAGTGGAGGCAGGAATTAAATCCAGATGTTTAATTTGTTTAAAGTCAAAGAAAAACACTCAAACTATGATCTGTATGAAGGAAATGGAAATTATGGCAAAAAAAAAAAAATGCTTATCAGCGGTTCCCTCTCAGCTCAGGGAAAAAAGAGTCTTACAAAGAGTTGTCTAATAACCAGGAATACGGGCTAGACCTGTGTCCTTGACTGCCAAGTAAGTATTTAGGGTGCTGGACAGCCTTGTGCCCCTTTAGAGTGAAGCGCACTGGTACTGGTAGCCCAGGGTGATCATGGATGCACTGGCACGCTGTGAACACACCATCAGAAAGCAATGCAAGCCTCACATTTTTATGTGCCCATTTGCACAGATCTGAATCTCCTGATTCTCTATAGCACATATATTAGTTTGCTTCTGAACTCTATTTTGCTGCAAATTAACTAAACTCTTCCAGACTGAACATCAGGTATGGTTCATGGGATAGTCAGCTCTAGAGACCACTGCTTTGAGGCTTTATGCATGAGGGCACCTTCCACCCTGTAGAGCACTAACCCACCAAGCCTCCGACATGACCTGAGGGTGTAACTCAACCATAAAAGCACTATTCTGGCAGTGACATGGTCCAATCACTACTGCAGGTGCTTTAGACTGAATTAACCTGTAATGATTGTGCTTTAGGGATAAGGAATTGAGTACTGCTGTGAGTGTCGAAGTGGCCAGGCTCTCTCCAGGAGCCCTGAGCAGGGTGAGCTGTTTGGCCTAGGGCCAGTGAGTGACTGCATCGGCGGCAGAGGCTGTTGGCAGGGGAAACACAAATCAAATACATAGGAACGAGGGGAATCGAGAAGTGGATGAGTCAGGGTCTGATCCTGGAAGTGAACAAATGCATCTTCACCCTATTGACCTGAGTTTGAGAGAGCAGGCCTCAAACAGCTAAATAATGACAATTTGGAATAAAGAACTGGTTTCTGGCAAAATTTTTAACATAGTGGATAAGGAGCTGAATTTGTTTGTTAGAAAGTGATCGAAGACATGGAGTTGTGTGTGGAAGGAACATTTTACCAACTTGAAAGAAATCTTTTTCAGTGTTTGAAACAGCTCCCAGGTTGTAATTTGTTATAATTAAACTAGATGAGGCCGACTCTAGAAGGAGGCAGGCAGATTAGTTTGGGATGTCAATTTTTGTTTGCCGCTGTCAAAGTCTGTTAAAGGACCTTGATAGATTGCTGGCTGGCTTCTCTAATGAGATAATCCTTACATGAAAGACAGGCAGAGAGCTGGGTGCAGAGAAGCATACAGCAGTTGCCATTAAAAAAAAGGCAGCACCTGCCAACATAGGGCTTTGAGATGACTAAGATTTCACTACATCTGAGCTGTGGAGAACTGGACGGAGAGGTGAAACTCAAGATCTAAACATGGAGTAAATCACTGCAAATAAAGAAATAGTGCATTAAAAGGTCTTTGAGAGAGACAAGAGCCACCGTTTGTTTGGGGTAAAATCTGCCATTCTTGGGGCAGGACTGTAGCCTTCTGCGTGGCCCAATTATGTGGTCATAGGTTTTAGATAGGAAAAGTTAGACATGTCACACAGGTTAACTAGTTCCTATTTCTCTAGCTTCAAAATTTAGCATTATTAATATATGCTAAATACCATCTACTGCACCACTGAAAGAAGCCAGGTGCTAGATAAAAGCTAGCAGGCAAAATTGGTTTTAAGTTATATAGCTCTATTGAACATTATTTATAGTAGTGAATATTGTATGCTAGCACTAAAAAGACCCTTTAACTAAATCCAGGCTGGGAGCTGTTCCATTTTATAGAATTCTTCAGACTCGTAATTGAATTTCAAAGCATTTAATTATTTTAAATTTTTATGTCAAAAATCTCTATGGATAAGAGAGAGCAGAGGACATCAGCCCAACCAATAATAGCTCCTGCGACATGAGAAATTTTAATACATGAAATACATGATCACTCTATGTCGTTGTACCATGCAAGAGCATGTTTGTAAACACTTCTCAATCTCCTGTTTTCAGGTCCTGAGAACATCAGCTACTCTTTTATGAAACTAGTGGCACCTAGCACAGTCCTTAGTGAATTGACATATTTCTGCTGTTACATCTCCAGTTTTCCTATCAGTCAAAGTACTGTTGCAAATCTGATTCTCTGTAAAATTTGAATTAAGCAGAAACTTAGGGAAGGGAAAAAGGTTTAAAAGTCTGAAGAAGAGAACTTCAGCTCCTATAAATTGTTATAGCATGACTTATTAATGCGACCCAGGACAGTTTATAGCAACTGATAACCTGCTCTGAGATTTTAGGGTTGTCAGCAAATTCTGATTGTTTCCTGAAACTGCATGTTGCAGTTAATCTAACAAAACTATTCAAGTTTATTTAGAAAGCTAACAGTTACTTCCTGTGTAGCTGCTGATCTGCCGCTCACCTAAAACCTTACTGAAAGTATATGTTGCAAAAGTAAAGGAATTATTATTGCTCAAGGCTTTCCATAAAAATGTTAGCCAATATATTCTACTGTATTGGAAGACACAGCAATTAACTCTCAAATCCATTTATTATTCTTAAGATTTCTTTTCCAACATGTACAGATTGATTGGTACTATTTTTTATGTCTCCATTTAGAAAAGAATGGCAGTTTTCCTCAGTATTGCAGTGTGCATTTTAGCTTGCTCTAATGAAGACAAATTCCTCTCAATCAGGAGCGTTCTGTTCATTAAGTGAGACAGATGGCAGCCTTGCTGTATTGGTAAGGATTCCAGGATTTTAAGCTTATTTAAGGTGTACTAGTTTGTGTTTCCTAACTAAAAAAAGATCAATATTTCACATGGAAGAGATGTCAGATTCTGTCTTTACAGAATTTTTGCGGTATATACACAGTTCTCTACTAGTAAGCTGAAAATCTGAAGGTTCCACAGAAAGGCAGGGAGTAGATACATTCAGACAAATTTGTAAAACATGGTTCAGCAGATGTGTCTGTCTCTGCAGAAAATTAAATATACGCTTCCAAAGCTCTGCCAGAACACAGCATATTCGGTTCTGGAGGAGAATGTGTGCAACTGAAAGGGATGTGGCACTTCTTCCTTTTCCTCATCTCTGATCCTGAGTGCAGTACTAGAGTTCAAGGTCCCCAGCCTTTAATCTGCCAGCTATGATAATTAGAGCCAGGAAATTAATGCTGAAATGGAAAGCTCAAAATAAAATTGCATTGATCATAGGAATCTGTGCTAAACGCCCACATCCTGGACTCTGTAATCGAGAGAGTTGAGACAGGTCAGCTTCTGAAAACCGTTAAACTCTGAGCAGCAGTCAGATATCCTGGTCTCCGACATTGTGGAGCCATCATACACACAGAAGGCAGCAGGCGATGGCTAGATAGACATCGTCACTGTATAAGGCATTATGTAAAGAAAGAAAATAATCATTCATGCTGAGGGTAAGTAAAATATTACAGAAGTAAATAGGAATGTTTTCACCTTATTCAAATATTACAGATGTGAAGCAATTCCCACTGTGATCTTCATGATGCCTCAAAACTGATATTATTCATATTAGTTTTGTGACAAACTACTTACTTTTTAGTGTTAAAATGAGGACTTCAAGATGGGAGAAACCAGTTACTTTGCAGTATTCTAGAATATGAGCGGAAATAATGTGTGAGAGAACAAAATAAATACACAAGGAAATTATCTTCATATAAAGCATCCCTCTCTCTTGCACAGTCTGACTTCATACAAAAACACATACTGTCTGAGGTATATCTAATCCTAGCAATACTAATAAAAGGTTTCATTCAATTGTCATTTCTATTGACTTTATCTTAACACTTCATATTTGGTTTCAGGGAAGGTAAACCTATATTCAGACTGTGTTTTCTCCAAAGACAGTGAAGTCTTTGATTCAACTAACTGGGAAACAGGCACAAGCAGCACAAGGCTCTTCATTATCTCATAAAAATGACAGACTCTGCCTTCATTATATTTGTTAACATTTTCATTGATGAACACAAATAGACTTTAAAAGGGAAAGAAACAAGATAAGCCTTCATCTGGGTCAAATCTGCGCAAATTTGAAAATACAAGCGAGGCATGTTTCAAGAGCAGACAACAAATTCGTGTTCTGAATGTTGATGGACTTGAAATTACCATCTGAAGACTGAAGATTTATGAAGGAAATTAGTGGACCTCTGTTCAGCTTCTAGTGGGGGAGGTGGAGATAAGTGTATCAGAAGAAATGTCCTTCCTTACACTCCCACCAAAGAAGCCACAAACTGAGAAGAAACACGGAGGGAAACAGGCCCAAAGCCCTAATGAAA